ATAAGGCATATGAGCAACCAACACACACATGAAAAAAATGCTCAACAGCACTTATCATCACATTATTGTAAATCAAATTATAAATAGATTTCATCTCACAGAAGTCAGTTCAAAAACAATATATGCTAGCATGGAATTTTTTAAAAAGGAACCCATAAACTGTGGGAGGAAAAGCAAATTATTACAACCACTTTAGAAAACAATATCTAGATTTCTCAAAGAGCTAAACATAGAATTACCATTCAGTCCAGCAAACCCATGAATGGGTATGTGCCCACAGGAAAATACGTCATTTTAATGAAAAGACACCTGTACTCACACATTTATTGCAGCACTATTAACAATAGCAAAGACATAGAATTAAACTAAGTGCTTATCAATAGTCGATTGGATAAAGAAACTGTATTTGGAATACTACACAGCCACAAAAAAACAGCATGTCCTCGGCAATGGGGATGCAGCTGGAGGCCATTAACTTAAGTGAATTTATGCAGAAACAGACAACCCAATACTTTATATTCTCACTTATAAATGGGAGCTAATCATTGAGTACACATGGACATAAAGATTAGTTCAGCTGATACCAAAGACTTGAAAAGGGAGAAGAGAGAGTGTAGGGCAATGGTTGAAAAATTACCTACTGAATACTATGTTCACTGTTTGGGTGATAAGATTAACAGAAGCTCAAACTTCAGCATCATGAAATATACCCATGGGACAAACCAGCATGTACACTTCTGACTATATTGAATCTAAAATTTAAAATTATAAAAAATAAATTCTAGAGCAGACTGTAACTCAAAAGAAAAATTCTTATGTAGTCAATTATTCAAATTCTCTATTCTTGCTTTATTTTGATAATTCTTTGGCACAAAAAAATCATCCATTTCAATAAGATTTTCAAACTTACTGGCATTAGATTTACCACAGTATTTTAAAAATTTTAGCTAATGTTGTAATCAACATGTGTCCTTTTAAACTTTCTAATATTTACATTTTTTGTAATTCTAATTTTGTTTGTGTAATGTCATATGCATAATTCCTCCTATCTGCATCTGAGCCTTTATTACCTAGCATATAATCAATGTTTATAAACATTTCATGGATGTTGCAAAACATACACTCCCATTTTATGTAATTTAATGTCTACCAAACATGTCTTTTGCCTTATTGGATTTTTAAATTTATCCAAAAACCTTTGTTTGTTCTGAAGCAATTGTATTTTTTCTTTGTCTAATTGTCTACTCATGCTTTATAATATTTATCATATTCTGATTAAAAATATTATGCTTACCAAAAACGTTCTGAAAAATCAGAAAAATTTAATGTAGAAAATAATAATTATCTATAATCAGATCTCTCAAATGTTGCAAATTTTAACATTTCATTGTATTTTTCTAGTTTTTACAAATAAAAATATGTGTACTTATGGCCAAGACCATCCATACTATATTTATTCACATTTATCTTTAACTTTGCAATCATTCAAGAGACTAGAATAAGCATTTATAAAGAGGAGTGTAATAAAATGAGAGTTTAAAATTTTTGGTTTATTTTTTAAAAATTGTAAATTGACAAGTTATAATTGTGCACAAAGTTTTAGAATGTTGGAAAATATAAAAAATACAACACAAGTATCACAAGTGTCATAACTATACATTTTAATTGTATAGTTATGTTGGATACTAGGGAGAGCATTTTTAAAGTATTAACATTTCCCATGAAATTTATTGCATTATAGTAATACATAGGCCAATAATACCATGTTAAGCGCATGAGTTCTGGATTCCGATTTTCAGAGTTAAAAATCCTGACGTTATCATTTGTTAGCTGTGTATACTTGAAAAAGTTACTTAAGCTATCTGTATGTGTTTTACATCTGGAAAGTGGGATTAATTATAGTCTCTACCTCATGGGACTGTGAAAATTAAATATGATGCCCTGGCTGAGTGTGGTGGCTCATGCCTGTAATCCTAGCACTTTGGGAGGCTGAGGTGGGGAGGTCACCTGAGGTCAGAAGTTCAAGACAAGCCTGGTCAACATATTGAAATCCCATCTCTGATAAAATTTTAAAAATTAGCCATGTGTGGTGGTGCTCACCTATAGTCCCAACTACTCGGGAGGCTGAGGCAGGAGAATTGCTTGAGCCTGGGAGATGGAGGTTGTAGTGAGCTGAGATCACTCCACTGCACTCCAACCTCCAGCCTGGGTGACAGAGCAAGACTCTGTCAAAAAATAAAAAAGAAACACAGAAAAAAAAAGAAAAGTAAATATGATGATCCATGTAAAGCGCCTCAAATAGTTAGATTTGATAAATGACAACTATTCCTGTTGTATGTTTCTTATAATTCATGCGTATGTCTGTGAAATTATCTAGATAATCCAAATCTCAAAATGAAGGAGTAAATAATAGTGTTTACTTGCCAGCAGGCTTTTGCCCATGTTATTATGCCATATCATTGTTTCTCAAGATCTGTATAAGCTTTTTCATCTCCACAATTTTTATGATCCATCTTGCCTCACCTCACCACACAAAAGTACAAATTATATACCTGACATTTAAGGCCCTTCATATTCTAAACTTCTAACTTTTACAGCCTTGTTAATTACTGCTCCTTTCTATATTTCTAGCCAAGCTATGGTATTCAGTACTAGGCACTCCTTAGTTTTCTCTTTCCACCCCTAACACAAAAGGGTTTCCAATACGAAGGCTTACTCTTCCTCTGTATTTAGTGCTGATAGTGTTTAAATATTTCATCTTCTTTAAAACTCATGCTGAAATATGACCTCTAATGGTGGAGGTGGGCCTATGGGGAGGTGTTTGGTTCATGGGAGCAGACCCCTCATGAATGACTTGGTTCAGTCTTCAAGGTAATAAGTGGGTTCTCACTCTATGATTTCATGCAAGATGTTTGTTTGAAAGAGTGTAGCACCTTTTTCTTCACTCTCGCTTGCTCCCTCTCTTACCATATGACATGCCTGCTCTCCATTCACCTTCTATCATAATTATAAGCTTCCTGAGGGTTGCGCAAGAAGCAGATGTGGAGTTCCAAATAGGTTTTTTTCTAAAGTCATCTCCTTAGAATAGGACCGTCTATGTAGTCATTATTATAATGTTGCCATTAACTACAAACACAACTGGAAACCTTCCTAAGGAAGTGTCATTAGATCCAGCTTAATAAAGTACAAGGAAAACCAGTTTAATTACTTTGTAATTGCATAACTCTTTCTTTTCCCAGTGAAAGATCTTTAAAAAAAATCTCTTTTTTTGTTATTCATTCTTCCACAGCCACTCTATTCAAATGAATATTCTCAGAACTACTATTTCCTTTTTCCTCCCAGCACAACAAATGTCTATGCTATTTATATTGGAGACATAAAAGAGTGATGAGGTAAGCTTCGTACATTTCAACTTGATAAGCTGAGAGATTGTTTGTATTCAAATTCTTTAAAATGATGCTGAAACAACACCCATAACATTTGAAAAAAATAAGATAAAAAGATTGCCAGAAAGAGAACATACACTTTTCTTGTATTTATGATGTAATAATACTTTTTGCTTCTAATGGAGATATTGTCAGTTATGCTCACAGAAATCTTCCTAAAAGTTTCTTAAAAACAAATTTGTGTACAATACTATATAGTATTATTTAGGAAAAGTGAGCTTAGGTGAACTCCAAACACATTTTGACATTTTATAGAATGGTTATCACTCTATTTTGTAGGGTTTTTAAAAATCTACTTATGGGGTTTGTATGACCTGTATCATGCCTTAAAATACACATTTTTTTTTTTTAGAAATAATGAATTATTTGAGTTTTCTGTACTCCTTATCATCAGGATTCTGTACCTTGGAACAGTATTAAGACAACACATCTATTTACCACTTAAGACCTTGCAGCCTGAGGTTTGACATGCCAAAGCCACAACATACAGATTTTTTAGAGAATTCCAGGCAAACCACGTTGAAATGGCCTTGATCTCAATTGGCTTAGCTTTGGTCTGTGTCTTCATCATTGAGGATTAATTTATTATAGACCTAATAAATATAACAACAAAAACAAGGGAATAACATAAGCATTTGTGGTGTATTATACTTGACCAATTTTGGCTAACCACTGTTGATCCTGAGACAAATTGCTTAACCTCTCTGAGGCTCCATTTATTCATTTGTATTGGCAATTTACACAGGTTTATCAGGAGGGCCGGATGAGATGTTATGTGTGGGAGAGTGGGAAGGTGGCAAGGGATTGAAGACTACAAATACGGTGCAGTGTACATTGCTCCGGTGATGGGTGCACCAAAATCTCAAAAATCACCACTATATAACTTACTCATGAAATCAAATACCATCTGTACCCCAACAATAAATGGAAAAACAAACAAACAAACAAACAAACAAAAAACGAAGCACCTAACAAAGTGACAACCCAGAGCACAACAGGCATCCAACACATTTTCAAGGAATGAATGTATTTCCATGCCTTTTCTTTAGTAACAGGTTTGTGGTTCTGAAATTTATGCACATACTGCTTCAATTCTTCACACTGTCTTTCCTGTTAGAAAAATTTACCTGTTATAAAGAAGACTAGACATTTTTACTTTCACTCAGAAATAAAGGCATTTATATGAAAGGGTTTTTTTTAATATGCTAGGAAAAAATCACATATTTACTGTGCATTATTAACAATAACTTATTGAAAAAAATTAAGGGAAACTATACAACTTTTATTTATATCTGTAAAAATTTGATGTAGGTTTCTTAAATAAGAAAGTGTCTTGAATTTCAAAGAGGAAGCAGGTAAACCTATTTTCTCTTCCTCTCTCACATTTTTCACACTACCTTCATCATCACACCCCTGTGACTATGAATATCACACAAACAAACACTTATTTCTGCTGTTTACAAGGTTCATATAAAGAAATTGGTTGGCAGTTCTGGTCTTTGAAAGAAGACAAAGAACGTAGGCAAACAAAGTTATATTAAAGAGACATTTTAATTTTAACCAATCATTGAAGAACCACTCTCTCTGCTCATGAGGCGGGAGCGGGTCACAGAACTGCTATGGCGGGATAGTTGGTCACGAAACTCTGAGGCCATAAAGTAATAAAGAATTGGATCCAAAAGGCAGCAGACGCTTGCAAGACACAGGCAAAAAGGGTGGAAATACAGTGCGATTCGGACAATGGGACAATTGCTAATGATGGTTTCCTTTACCATGGTGTAAAAAATAAAGTTAATATGATAGGGAGTGAAGCAAATGAAGAAGACTGCAGCACACATGAACACCATCCGCACTGCTTTTTGCCTCTCACTGATCCCTTGGAAAGCCACTGGTGGCTGTCTCAAGGATATAGTAGTTTTCCAGGTACACCATGCGATGATGATGACTGGGATCACAAATCCTGCAAGCTCAGCAACTGTAATCATCCCGACCAATGCAACTGCATTCATTTGCTTGTATCCAAGATCAGCAAAGCAGGACTTGTTGTTGTTCTCTAAGTCTGTGCTTCTCAGAATGGGAAATGGCAAACAGGCAGTCCCCACAACGATCCAGATGGCAGCACTGATGCCCACATCGTACCTACGCTTCCAGTCTCTGGCCCTGAAGGGCTTGAGGAGAAAAAAGCACCTCTGAAGACTGATGCACGTCAGGAAACAAATGCTGGCATACATGTTGAGATATTTTAGGTAGAAGCAGAGCAGGCAAAGGGCTCTCTGGAAAGGCCAGTGGTGGTTGATGTAATAGTAAATCCGGAGGGGTAAAGATAATACGTGAGCAAGGTCAGCCACAGAGAGGTTGATCATGAAAATTATGGCTTTATTTTTGTTGCTTATGAAGCGACATAGAACCCACAAGGCTGCACTGTTAGCCAAAAGACCAGGAATGAAAATGAGGATATATGTGGTTGCATAGAGGGAGTATTGAAATTTCACATTAGTGACATTACAGTAAGTCTCAGCAGTGCTGGTACTGTTGCTATGCATCTTGAATGTTTCAGTATATTCGTCAAAGTAAGTCATGGATTTACAGTTCCTGTCCAAAGTAAAACAAAATAAAAAGTATAATGGTTAGTTAGTTATTTAGGTAACACCTAGATCTCTCTTATATACTTATGGAGGCACAGAGTATTAGAAGAGACCTGTTTACATATAAACAATTAGAGGCTCAAGGAAGATACAGTATTGATCCAAAGTCACCCTGTGTAATAGTTAAGGAACCATAAAATTACCCCACAACTGCCCTCCCAGATTCTCTAAGTTGTATTTTGCAGGCAAAAATGTCTTGAAATATTAAATCTTTTATTCTCACCATAGCAAAAACAGCATAGCATTCGAGTATGTTTATTTTGCCTCCAAATTCATCTTGTCCAAAGCTCTGGTGAGAATAAATACTACTCACACCTAATTGCAATGGTAGAAATTCAGGCTCACCTTTTATGTTCCCTTGCCTGTCCTTTGTCTGCCATTTTGCTCATTGGGTCCTGGCTGCTTCTTCTTTTTTTTTTTTTTTTTTTTTTTTTTTTTGCTCTGTCACCCATGCTGGAGTGCAGTGGTGCCATCTCGGCTCACTGCAACCTCTGCCTCCGGGGTTCAAGTGATTCTCCTGCCTCAGCTGTCTGAGTAGCTGGGACTACAGCTGTGTGCAACCACACCCGGTTAATTGTGTTTTTACTAGAGACAGGGTTTCACCATGTTAGGCAAGATAGTCTCGATCTCCTGACCTCATGATCCGCCCGCCTCAGTGTCCCAAAGTGCTAGGATTACAGGCGTGAGCCACCATTCCCTGCCCCTGGCTTCTTATCTTGGAACCCCAGCACTTGGAAAATGGTCCTACCTCCAAATGCCTGCATTGTCAGTGTCCTGGCTGATTTTCAAGACCTGAGAATATGGCCTCATTATTCTATCATAATAGCTTGTGACTCTGAGGTTATCCTGCAGTTTGTCTCGCTCCCTAGGCTTGGATATCCAAATTTACATAAAAAAGCTTTAATAATATATGAATGTATAAGCTGAAATAGAGTATTTTCCTTCTTGAAAATCTTGAAGGGGAAAAGACCAATTCTACCTCTTAGTAGAATCCTGCACTGCTGTGGCAACACTGACAGGACAAGTTATGCAACAGTCACAATGAACACTGCTTTGGGCACTAGAAAAACAGGATCACTAAAACCACATTTGACGACAGTTTAAAATGTAATGCTTTCTTTATTCATTAATCATTATGAAGAGATTCCTTCTTTTTGGACGTTCTTACTCGTGTTTTATGATTTAGTATTTTTTAAATATGTGTTATATTAAGGTATATAGAGAGTAGCATAATCTTTAGAGATTATCAGAGGCTGGGCATGGAATTATGCTGATTGCCAGCAGATAAGAATGGTAAGGAGAGCAACAGATTCCTCATTTTGCTTTAGCTATCTTACAGAATTTCAGACTGGGAACGACCTATGGAAATCATTAAATTCAGCCTCCACATAATAGAGAGAGAAGCAAGGCCCAGAGAGAGGAGATTATAATGGCCACACAGCTATTAATGGAAGATCTGAGACTTGAAATGGGAGGACAAGGGGACTTGCCTTCATGTATACCGTTCTCCTCATCTTTGTTTTTCTCCCCAAGACAAAGTTCACAAACATAACTTCTGTGCATGTTGCAGGAACGTTTATTGTATTTCAAGCTAGAAGTGTAAAAAAATAATGTACTGAGCTTGTTTCTCAGATAGGGAAGTGTTTTTGTTGTTTATTGTTTTTATTTTGTTTTGTTTTGTTTGAAGTAAGTTTACAAAAAACAAAAGAGTAACCTGGCTTTAGATTCTTCCCATAAGTAGCAAAATGGCTTCCTAGATGGTTGTAAGTCCTGCTCCAGGAAATAGAGTTGTGATAACAAAAACAGAGCCTCAAGTGATGAATTTACAGATAAAAGAGAGTGGATGTTATGAGCTGCTATTACTGTAAATAATAATTTTATTTTCCCCCTGTTCTATTCCATCTCCCTATTTGCCCTCTTATTTGTTATATGTCTTAAATAGGCAGTCATTTTGCTTATATATGTGTTACTTAGAATGGAGGGTGGAAGGGGCATTCACAGGGAGAAAGACAGGAAATAATTATCATGCTGTGACCATCAAGGATGTATCCAAGAATCTGTAATGGAATTTTTCAAGCATATTATTTAATTCAATTTTCACAACCATTCTAAGATGTAGGAACTATTATCACCCTATGATCTAGATGAAAAAACTGAGCTTCAGAGACATCAGTAAATTGCCTTAAATAGCAAAGCAAAAAATGGTAAAGATAAGATTTACTATCATTCCTGGCTTGCTCTGAAGCCTGTGATATTTCCCTTATGCCACTTTCCTCTCCCTGACTAGGAGGGACTACTTAGTAGAATAAGGCTGTCTTAACTATCACTCCACATGCCTTTGCATTCTCATAGCTTAGCTCCCACTTATAAGTGAGAACACCTGGTTTTTGGCTTTCCACTCCTGTGTTACTTAGAATAACAGCCTCCAGCTCCATCCATGTTGCTACAAAAAACATTGTTTCAATTTCACTGTGACATGTGAAGAGCACATTGTGGTAGAATCATTCTAATCCCATAGTAGAAACTTATAATCACATAGCACTAGAATTCCTCTAGTTTGTCAGTCAGAGTAGAAGTAAGCACCTGTCCCTACTTATGCAACACAGTTTCCACCCCAACACCTACTTTGACTGCAGTATTGGCACTGCTTCTACTATCATCTATTGTCTACACACAGGCTGTGAAAGAGCAAAGAAAGAGCATCAGTGCATTACAATTTCAAGAACTGAGAATTGTTCATAACCCTACCCTCGTCCAGTCACACTTCCACTTTTGCACTTAAAAGAAATGGCGATTTGTTTTAGCTTCACTGGAGTAGAAAGTTTCAGTTACTAAAGGGGAATGTTCTGTTAATACCTCCTTGTTAAAAAAAAAAAAAAAAAAAAAAAAAATGGAGCCCAATTATGTGAGAACAGCAAGCTAGTGGTCAAGTTCATACCTTTGTTTCCCCCCCCCCACCCCCACACCGTGGGTTCTTATGCCTCTGCAATTCACAGTTCATTGTGAGCTTAGAGATTTGCATGGCTTCCTTCCAAAAACCTCTTTTCTTCTTCAGTCTGAAGAGAAGGTAAGAAGGTCCCCCCCCCTCAAATCTTCTTAGTGATCATTAAATGTAAAATCCCCATGATGAGAAGAGGCAGAAGTATTTATTTAGAGGTTGAGCAGAAATGTAGACTCTCAAAGAGGGAACATTTAGCTTGCTTTGGACAATTGTGTCATATCTGAAATGTAAGAAAAGAGAAGCTAAGACGCCACCAACAAGAAAATGCTGGATGGAAGAACTAAAATCAGAGTATTCTCCTCTCTGTTCCCCTACTCCATCTCTCTCTCTGTCTCTCTTTCTCTTTCTTTCTGTCCCTGTCTCTTTCTGTTCATCTCTCTGTCTCTGTATGACTCTGGCTCTATTGCTGCCTATTTGTGGGCAGTTTGCTCCCTTTGTGTTGCCAATTTATCTCCCCTTCAATCTAGACATATTTGTGGTTCCTGTCTCACAGGGATGTGAGATTAGTGATTCATTCCTGAGTCTGTGCTTCCCTTTTCAGTCAGTGCCCTGACTCCTCTCCCAGAAACTCAAGCTGAAAATTAGGGAGTAATTCTGACCGTTGCCACTGTATTTCCTCCCATGGACAATAAAAATCCAGGTGATCCTTCCTTCCATGTAAAATGCTCTCTAATCTATCTCCACCTCTACTGTCACCATCCTAATCCAGGCTACTGTCATCAACCCTATTGATTATTGCAACAGCTCCCTTACTGAACTGTTTGCATTTCAGTCCTTCCCTTAAAGTTCATTCCCCATACCACGTCTAACGTTAACATTAAATGTGACTACCACTTATTTAGGGGTGCCATTTATTTACAAGCTGAACACTTTATTCATTATCTCATTCATCCTCACAGGAACCCTATAATTATTTCCATATTGCAGTTGGGAAAATTGTGGCTCAAAGAGGTTAAATAAGTTGTGCAGAAGTCACAAAATTCACATCTTGTTCCTTTTTAATCTCAATCTGTGGGTCTGAGAGACCTTAACCACCAACTCAATCTAGATGATCCTATACAGCATTGCATGCTCTCACATTCTCTATTCTTTCTCTTTGTAGCATCAACATTTGTAATTTGGGTTTTTATTATTTGTTTATTGGTTATTACTCTCACTATGCTGGTAAGTCCGTCAGTGCCACAAAACGATCTCCTTTGTTCATCACTATATAGCCAGGACCTAGCCTAGTAAGCATTCAAAGAATATATAAAAAGTATAATTGGACTGAATTGCTTACATAATAGTTCAAAGTTTCTGTTTAGAAGGATTAAGCACAAATTTAAAAAACCTTGATATATCAACAAATACATTTCTGATGCCTACCATTTCCCTAAAAGGTTGTCTTCTGACATGGGCTGCACCTATCAACATTTCCTACACCTATCCTTTTCACCTCAGAAAAGCCATATATGTAGAGGCCTGAGAAAAGAGAAAATGAATTAATTTAGAAATCACAAGTGGTCAGACATATCCTATGGATAGAAACTAAGTAGCCATAAGTTAACTAACCATAATAGATTTCACACATTCCATGAAAGCGGTAACAATGACATTTCTGTGGGAGCAGAAATAACATCTGTGTAGAACAGAAAAATTGGAAGTCAATTTTTCAATAAGCAGGTTTGGGAGTGGGCAGGATCATGAAAGATTTTTAATGCACCTCATAAGGAATCATGAAAGGATTCTGCGAAGATATGTGATATCACCATATTTGTGTTTTAGACAGGTCAGGCTGGTGGCCGGGCACAGTGGCTCACACCTGTAATCCCAGTGTTTTGGGATGTCCAGGTGGGCAGATTGCTTGACCTCAGGAGTTTGAAACCAGCCTGGGTAACATGGCAAAATCTCATCTCTACAAAAAAATATGAAAATTAGCTGGGTGCAGTTGTGCACATATGTGGTCC